CTTAAAAAAAAGTACTATCAAAATGTTGTCATAGTATCATTATAAACTTGACAATTTTCGTGAAACATTCATTACACGATGAAACGCCCTTAAATTTACTGAAATTGATATATCAGAGGCGTTTGGATTTCCATTGTCTCGATATTTACGAGAGTTTTAAACATTTGACCTAAATCTTAAATTTATCAGTTTTATAAATTATTAGACTGAAAATTAGTTCGTTGAAAAACCGATCCAATTCGAAAATAAATGTCAAATTTTAAAATGATACAGTGATACACACTGTGCGAAACTGTCATCCAGTCCTTTGCACATACTTCCGTAGCAGGGTAGCGCAATCAACGAATTTTGCGAAACTAAAATAGGAGCAAAGGACTCGGGTGAAGTAGAGCAAGGACATGTGTAAACAATTTGGCAGAATGTTCTAAACCTTAATGAAAAAGCCGAGTAATTTAGGAACGGCAGAGACCCAGCGCAGAAGCGAAAAGCAACAATGCGAGAGAACAAAACGCATTAAAAGCCAACACGCCATAGTTTCAGATCCAAACTTTGTTTTCGCCCGATGGGTTTCTCGGGGATCCAGAAATTTCGAGGGCCATTTGGCAACCGGCTGGAGAAAGCTCGCGTGCATCTAAGTTTAAATTGCATTTTGTTGTGAGCCATCGCCAGCTCACCACTAACTTAGCCAACTTAAATTGATGTAAGGTGAGTTCCCTTCTTAGCTCCGGTCTCATCCTTGATCAAATATGCTGCAGCCGTTTTGGCGAGTGCGCAGTCAAACAAAGATGGCGCAAAAAAGAGGGTGCCATAGGCTTAATTGAGAAAATGAAAGTGCTAATTTATTTTTAAGAAAAAGTGGAAGAACGTCTGCACTGACAATTGGACGTATTTCTATCAAACGGAACTAAGCGCCATATGGGGAGAAAGGTAGAGGGGGCTTGGATTGGCGGCGGAACCGGGCGTCGGGCTCATTCCGTCCTATACTCGCAATGCTTTTCCATGGGGCTTAGTTCCGTTTGACAGAATGCGCTATCCATCATTCTAAATTCCTCAAAAGGAACTCAAATTGGCGCTTAGTTCTGTCTGACAGAAATAGTCCAATTGTGGAACTGCGAGAATGCGTACTTTGTATACTTTTTTTTATTTTTTTTTCCTCTTTAAATTTCTGCTAATACAATGGAACTAGAAATGGAACTAGGCAAATGTGCCTTTTTAAAAGGTTTGAATAATAAGTAAATGATTTCGCTCAAAGTGAGTCGTTTGCGAAAGCTGAATTGCGGTTATTTTTTATTCAACGCCAAAAAATATCCAACCGAATCGAAGTTATATCCGCTTTGAACTTTACAGACCAATAAGCAGGTTAAAAATGTGTTCTTTTGAATCCTTTACTACGATCGGCTACGGAGGATTCCGGATTATATTACAATTCAACGCCCTCTATTGACACGAAAATGAAGTGAAGAACTCTCGTTTAATACCTTAGGACATTGGAAAGTTCTTTGTCAAAATCTCAAAATCCAATTTTTCTCAAAACTCCACAAAAAAAGCTAAACTAAAAATTTCGACACCATGAGAGCTACTTTTTGCGGGTGCTTTCATACAACTTTGCGATGAAATATTCTGATCATACGTGCTGTAGTTCAAAACGCCGCAGGAATAACGGTGAACGGTGAATGAGATTTGCATCGTTTCTATGACCTGCAGGGATCATATTTTGTTTCATCGCAACCCGAAGCTATGTTGCGTCATTACGGGTAAATTAGTTTGTTTCATAGTATTATTCATGAGAAAACACATTTACGAGCATGCAAGAAATGGCAACACTGAACGAGGGGAAAATTATTCAGCTTTGGTGGAGTCGTTACACCGCACCGCCACCGCGAAAAAGCTACGATGAAAACATGCATATTTTTCCGCGATATGTCACGATAAGAGAGGAGGTTGGGGTACAGGCACCTGCATTTTTTCTCGGACCAGACGTTTGCTGCTCTCATCGAAGTCGTTTCATTGGCGTTGCAAAAATGTGCAAAAATATTAGCCTCTCGGACATAAAACCAAAGATCTCTTTGCAACCCTTATTTTCGCGACTTCACCATTTAACTTACCACCTCGTTGGCTATTGAATGACTTGTCGAGCGATTCTTTTGAAGAAAAACTGTTTGTTTTTGTGAAGTTCCCCCCCCCCCTTTTACTACTTTAAGTAGCCCACAAGGGCTAATCCTGCGCTTTTTCCCAACCCCCCTCCGTCCCTACCGACCAGTCCCGGGCAACTATTGCTTGAGACCATCAAACTCGGGTCGTCTGGCCGAGAATCGAACCCGGGACCTCCCGATCATAGAGCTAGCGCTACAACCAGCGGCGTGGCGTGCTTTGCGATATATCGATATTTCCCCATTTGAAACTGTGGTAAATAATCGATTATCAAGGTGTTCGCTGCGAACACCCTGTTTATCGATACTTTTCCATAGGTTTAAATTACCGATCGATCGATAAATCGCAAAGCACGCCACGCCACTAGCTACAACCACCACACCATAGGAGGCCAACTGTTTGATTGACTGCCTGAAGTTTGGTGAGGAAAGAGTGGTTATGGGACATTTTGTCAACAATTTTTTGTCCGCGCACCTGTTTTTTCCAGTAGTTTACGTCCACGCGTTTTTTCGGAAGGGGAGTTTCGGTCTACTTACCACTTGAGACACAAAATTAATTGGTCCACATGTAAATACAAACGACAATTGCTTACGACGTTTACGAGCTACTGTGTCGAAAGAAACTATAAACAATGAATAACAGGGGAAATAAATCAAGAAGCACACAATTTTTGGTTTTAGCCCATTTGTACATCGATCTTTTAGAGTCAAATACATCCTATTTTAGGCGTTTGGTTGGGCGTGCACCACAATGTAGCACAGTAAAAGCACAAAATATTAAAGAAATAATTCATAAGCTTTGGAAATTACTACCTTAATATTTACAAAACATACATTATATTTTCCTCTCATGAATATATTTTTTTTATCATTTAAATGAGAGTAATCCATGCAAAAATCACGAGTTGAAAAACACTGACCCCGCAAGTTTATATAATAGGGCCTAACATAAAGCGGAGTGACGCGACGTGCTGCCAGCACGAGACGCGCACTGGCGCCTACAAACCTAAGGGGATACTCTACGCCTTGCGCAGGGCGTGAAGTATCCCCTTAGGTTTGTAGGCGCCAGTGCGCGTCTCGTGCTGGCCGCCCGCCCGTCGCAGCGTGTCACCCACGGCGCTTCGCTATTTCACAATAGAGGTGTTGCACAGTGTGATGTGAGATTGAAGGCACCCCAACGTATCATGATTGATGGCATCTCGCAAAAGCACGAAGTTCCCTCGCAAATGAAATCGAGTGACGGCAACAAAAAGAGAGCTGTAGTCGAAAAACTTTATTTCCTAATATCTGTATCTAACAACGTTTAGCATGATTTTTTAACTCCATTAGAGGAAAAAGTGACCTGATTCAAAGGAAAATATCCTCAAATTTACCGCCGAGAAGATTTCCTTATGAGTCAATAAAGAAAATAATGCTTTTTAAACGAAAAAAAGATGCTCTTATAAGAAGGAAAGTCATGTACATCAAGCAAAAACCCGCTTTTGTTCACCTATTTTATTCTTGATTCAAAATAAAATCTTCTTGACGGCATACTCAAGAATGTTTATTTATCTCTTTTATCTCGATTTATTTTGCGAGGTAAGTTCCTTACTCTTAATGGATGCCTGTCATTCTTAATATGTTGGGGCTCCTTCAATTTCATTTGATACTATACAACACCTCTATTGTGAAATAGTGAAGCGCCGTGGGTGACACGCTGCGGAGTGACGCGACGTGCTGCCAGAACGAGACGCGCACTGGCGCCTACAAACCTAAGGGGATACTTCACGCCCTGCGCAAGGCGTAGAGTAACCCCTTAGGTTTGTAGGCGCCAGTGCGCGTCTCGTGCTGGCAGCACGTCGCGTCACTCCGCTTTATGTTAGGCCCTATTATATAAACTTGCGGGGTCAGTGTTTTTCAACTCGTGATTTTTGCATGGATTACTCTCATTTAAATGATAAAAAAAATATATTTATGAAAGGAAAATATAATGTATGTTTTGTAAATATTAAGGTAGTGATTTCCAAAGCTTATGAATTTATTTCTTTAATATTTTGTGCTTTTACTGTGCTACATTGTGGTGCACGCCCAACCAAACGCCTAAAATAGGATGTATTTGACTCTAAAAGATCGATGTACAAATGGGCTAAAACCAAAAATTGTGTGCTTCTTGGTTTATTTCCCCTGTTATTCATTTTTTATAGTTTCTTTCGACACAGTAGCTCGTAAACGTCGTAAGCAATTGTCGTTTGTATTTACATGTGGACCAATTAATTTTGTGTCTCAAGTGGTAAGTAGACCGAAACTCCCCTTCCGAAAAAACGCGTGGACGTAAACTACTGGAAAAAACAGGTGCGCGGACAAAAAATTGTTGACAAAATGTCCCACTGACTTTAATATCGATACCATCGCTCAGAAAAGGTTTTATAAATATTTGCCACGTTTTAAAAATGTAAATGTTTTTAAAATAAAGTAATATTTTCATTAAAAAAAGTTTCTATAAGGTTAATTTTATACCTGAAATTTTAAGGATAGAAATAAAACCAAGTATTCACCCATGCCCATTTAAAATTATAAATCAGAGGAAGGGAGTAACATTTCATTTAAAACGCGAGTTACCGCAACAACTCCTCCTTCTCTTTCAATTTTCTCATTTCAATAATGTCAATATAATTGTATATACCGACTAAAATATAACACTTGGACCGAGTCACCGTTGCTTATTTTACGCGTGGGCTTAAACCATAGGACAAAACAGGTGTGCGGACAAAAAATCGTTGACGGAATGTCCTGAAACCGGAAAGGGTACGTACATTTTTAGGGACAGTATGACCATTCGTATCTTCTTAAAAAAAGACAACTGTTCTGCTCCCTGATTGGTCTGCGAGTTTTAGACCTTCATGTAGCTGGAATGCCCCCCTCCCTCCCTCGTTCCGATTTGAGAGCATAATGTAACAACAACAACAACAACAACAACAACAACAACAATAATAATAATAATAATAATAATAATAATTATTTACACATGTATACATGTGTAATACATGTTATACATGTGAAGGAAAGTCTTTCTTGTGGTTATCGAAAGGGCAGCTGTATCCAGAAACGGAAGGATTTGTTCTCGCAATACAAGACCAAGTGATCAGTACCAGGAATTACAAGAGATATATACTGAAGGAGAAGATCGAGAGCGATAAGTGTAGGAAGTGTAATGCTGCATCCGAGACAATAGATCACATTACATCTGGTTGCGCATTGCTTGCAGGGAAGGAATATACCGAGCGGCATAACAACATGGCTAAAATTATACATCTAGCGCTGGCCAACGATCGAGAACTATGTGATACTGCTGAATCCTACTACAAATATTGCCCAGCCACGGTCCTGGAGAATCAGCGCTTCCGGCTCTATTGGGATAACCCGATCCTAACCGATAAAACCATCATGGCAAACAGACCGGACATAGTGCTTGTTGATAAGCGAGATCGCACCGCTTACATCATTGATATTAGCATCCCTAATAATCATAACTTGGAGCTGAAGTATCAGGAAAAGATGGTAAAATATCTGCCCTTAGCTGCAGAAATGAAGCGATTATGGAACCTGAATATTGTTTGTATCAAGCCCCTGATAATGTCAGTAACGGGGATAGTTCCAAAAAGTTTAGTTCAACATCTTCGAGACCTCGGAATAAACAGTTACCTGCTTCATTCAATGCAGAAGTCCGTCGTTATAAGCACGTCAAGTATTGTCAGGTCGTTTCTTAATATCGAATAATTTTTTGATTTCACTTAAAATTTAATTTTTTTAAAATTTTTGTTTTTAAATTTTACTTTAAAATAACGTTTACCCTTTTTTTTCAAGCAAGATAGTATGTGTTACTGACTTTGGCCTGTGGCCCGTCAGTAATACTTGTGCCGGAAGTGTTCCCTCTTCTGAGTTACAAAAAAAAAAAAAAAAAAAAAAAAAAAAAAAAAAAAAATTATTTTTTATTTGTAAATGCACATTTTTCAACAGCTAGAAAATATGTCAGGGTTAGTGAGGATAGAAGAAAAAAAAGAAAAGAAAGGAAAAGAGAATACAGATTTTTCAAGAAAGGGCTTGTGCTAAATACTTTGCTTCACTATAAAAACATTTGGCAATAAAAAAATTTTTTAAAACGTTAAGAAAATTCGAGTCCCTGTATTTGCTTTTTAGAGCTGAGGGGAGCTTTTGAAATAGGATTTGGCCGCGGCTTAGAGAGTGGCTGTTCTTGGTGGCATTTTTGTCAAAACATGGAATCTAGCGTTGATTTTACTGAGAGCCACAGGGGCTAAAGAGGTTTCAACTCACCTGTTCTGCGGTTTTCTCGAGATGAGAGCCAAAACGGCTATGATGGAGGCGAACAGGATGTAGAGTACAAGTTTGAGGAAAGTCCCCATGGAGTCCATGGCACAAACGATGAGTAGATCGAAGAGGATAATGAGGATGTATAGGAGCAACACGTACTTCATCACCATCATGCCACTCTCCTCGGTAGCCGGGCCCGTGTCCACCCATGGAAAGATCGCCGGGCACAAGTACGTCGCCGCCTGCAAAACCCCGATCCCTCCCAATGAATCATGTGCAAATCTATATTACAAAAATCTCATAATAAATCATAAACATAAATCATAAACATCGTCACCTTCCGGCCAAAGTATCACGAGCGCCATGCGACGTTTCAAAATTTACGCCGCCAATTTATTTTTTTGTGTTTTTTTTTTTTTTTAAATTGTTCAACGAAGCTGTCCGAAAATCTCACTGAATTTTCTTTGTGCCGCCGATAACATTTGGTGATATTTTCAAAGAGATACGTACATAAAGCCGCTTTTATAGCGCAGCCTCGCGCTCTGCGACGCCCAATCGCCATTGCTCCCTATCCTCCCAGAGATCATCAGGCAACAAAGAGCATTTCAAAGAGAGGCAATTTTTTTCAACAGGCATTTTCAAAGAGATTCGACCAATAATTTCGCTGTAAAAAATAAAATGGCGGCGGAGATTTGAAACGTCGCATGGCGCTTGTGATAATTTGGCCGGAAGGTTACGATATGACAAAATAGAGAGAGTACATCTCGTTTCAAATTTTCCGCTTCTATTCTTTGCTCGCATAGTTATCAAAACTCTGATCATCTGAGATCCAGATTGACTAACTTCTAAACGCCGTGTTTTTATTTTCGTGGAGGTGTGACAGGCATCGTGATCAAGATAGGTATTACGAGGACTACGAGACCTTTAAAATAACACGATGGAAAGGATTATTTAACTATACCCTAGAGTAAAATTCAGCGGTACAGAGTTAGAAACACGCAGTTTCAACGCACCAGTGTTGAAGAGAGTCCCGTTTGTAAAAGTCTATATTAGCTGAGGGTAATCTGATTTCGAAATTAAACAGAAAATAAGAACAAATCTTGGTTCCAAGGATAGATACCTTTCACTTTGGGTTACGTCCGCTATTTTTGACTATGAAATTTTGGGAATTTGACTAAAAAATCGGTTTACCATCAAGCAATACTACCTCACACCGAATTTCACAAAAATCGATGGAACAGGAGCCGAGAAGCACAGTGGTAAACGATACGATATGAGTCAATTTACGAACGTCAAAGCGCCGTCATTTTCGTATGATACTGTGCAATACTTCTGTGGTGGAATAGTTGCTGAGAGCGCCTTACAGCACTGTCGCATCGTCTTGATGGCAGAACTGCATGAGATCACGATTACCGCTGAGATTACGACCAAGCACGTGCGCAGTTGCGCATTTTCTCATCACCGACGGTGAGATTACATTCATACCCACTTTGCGACGTTGCAATTTTTTCACTACTTATTTTGTACATGTAAAGCGGCATGAACAGTTAAAAATCTTTCTGAGATAAGACGCGAGAGGTATCCTTTTGATGCTTCATTCAAGTATATTTGCATGATCTCATTAAAAAGGGTAAAATTAAAGATGAACAAGACCCCCCCCCCCCNNNGAAATAGAGGGGAGATGTTGGGTAAATAGAAAATAATTAAAGATTCACCTTTAAAAAATAAAAGATTTCAAACAATTTTGAGGTGCCAAGTTGGGAACAGTTTGGTTTTGAAAAGTGAGAATTGACGGGAGACTTGAAAAATTATAATGACGTTCCAGAGGCTCAGACATTTTTCGTCCGAATGTTGTGACCCAAGGCTAGCAGCCTATCGATGTTGAAACTTTAAAACTACGTATCTCATTTGCAGTGTTTCCAAATTTCCGCTCTCGTTCTATTTTTTTGGAAAAAGAGCAAATCATTAACATTCCTCGAAGTTTTCGTAGAATTTTCTTCACACAGAGCTAGAGGGCAAATAACCGGAGTTTTTAAGAATTGACGTTGAGTACTTTTCCACTTAGGAAATAAAAACAGGAAGGACGTCTGCAACGCGGAAAACCACGAGAAACGTGCTTTGGGAGTTTCACGGTCGCTATGTGGATTGCGTCAATCAGGAAGGTCGGACATGAACTTTTTGTGCAAATGTTGATGTTTATTTCGTCACATTTTAAATTTCAAGGGGTGCCTTGAGCAGAAACTTTCACGAGGAAATCAATGGAACTACTTTTAAAACCTCAAAGTTTTGTAAGAACGGAGTTTTAAGCTTTTAAAGTTTCCAAATTTTGTCCGACCACTCCCATTGACTTGGTCTACTGTGCGTTGCTTTGCAGCCTCATGGCAAAAACGGCCCTGACGACACTTTTGAACGGGTAATGTATTATCATTTAATGAATGGGCTATATATCTTGTTTACCTGAAGCCGATGACTGATATAGCTGAAGCGAGGTTTGATTCCCGCGCTGGCTTGGGTTGAACCAGCGTGAACGGATCCGTAGAACTTGTTCTCGTTTCTATCTGAAACCAGGAACTGGTCGTCGCGCATGGAGAGGTCTTCAGATTCCTCCCCCGCATACGTGTCGTCCGAATCGGGCGAACTACTTCCGGATCAAAAACATAAGAGGAAAGCTTACATATAAACATTGTCTTGGTCATACCGAAAATCATATTTTTCTCATGCTTCTAGTTGTGATTCGATAGACGCCATATTTTGCGGCAGAGTGACATGCGATATATCGCATCGATTGGTTCCATTTTTTCAGCTACTCGTCATTTTTCTCAAATTTTGAGATCGCAATTCTGTTGTCAAGAGACTAAAGAATTCATTTACCGATTTTGACAAACAAATTCAATGTAATATACGCGTGCACGGGAGAACAAAATTGCTGATTCAACAATTCAATTGCTAAAAACAGTGAGTGCAATGTTTCAGTGCAGATTTTACAACAAAAAAATGCTACTTTAACCACCCCCGTGGTGAAATTAGTTTACAATGTCGTTAAAGTAGCATTTTTTTGTTGTAAAATCTGCGTTGAAACATTGCACTCACTGTTTTTAGCAATTGAATTGTTGAATCAGCAATTTTTTTTCCGTGTGGTTTTTTCATAGAGAAAATATCGCATTCGAGTGCAATTTCGTTATCAGTATCGAATGCAAAATTTTTCCTCTAAAAAACCACGCCTTAATTACGTTGAATTTCTTTGTCAAAATGTGTGAATGAATTCTTTAGACTCCTGACAACATAATTGCGATCTCAAAATTCGAGAGAAATGACGAGTGGCTGAAAAAATGGAACCAATCGATGCGATACATCGAATGTTGCTCTGACACAAAATATAGCGTCCATCAAATTACCTCAAGGATCCAAATCATGAATTGGACGACATATTGTAATAAAACATCACCATATCTGGTTTCATTTTGAATCAACTTATGTGCCATTAGTTTCCCCTCGCACATTACGTGCTATTACAATAGGTCAGTGCACTGGTCACAGAATCGTGTTTTAATGTTTGAGTCTTTTAGATTTACTAAAAATATTAAGAGCTGTCCAAACAGCAATTTGCCACGTTCAATATTATTCAAGATATCGCGCTTTGAAGAATTCGGTTTATGGAGTCATATACTGCGGTAATGACACCCTTAGTTTCTTCCATCTTGCTTTCATCAGTCAGGGAGACACACATTTGCAGTTGTTTTTCAACGTGAAACTTGGATGAAATCAAGATGGAAGAAACCGAGAGTGACACTACACCTTACCGTGGCAGATGACGTCATAAGTCAAATTTTTCAAAGCGCAATATGTCGCGGTTAATTTTGAACGTAGAATGTTGCTGTTTGGACGGATCTTATAGGTGTGTCTTCGAGACTAGAGGTTTTTACCGTGCAACTCAATTATTCGAGCCCCCCTGATTTAAAAAAATAGCCCTGCTTGTACTAAGTTACTTGATTTTACTTGATTTCTTCGCCTGTCTTGACAAAGAAGCGTAATAACCACTTGGGTACTAGGTTCACGAATTGTAAGTTGAAAAACGTATATGTAATTTGACTAAATAGAGCTTCGTGGCTTTGAATCCTCAATTGGTATGTCGTTGCGTAAACTGATTTTATGCGGAGCTGGTCATAGATTAGAAACTTACCTTCTGGTAACTTTGCGCACCATCACTCGATGTTGCTGGTTATTCAGCGTTGTGACTGGAGGCTGCTGCGATATGACACCGCTGTAACTCGTTTTCATATTATCTGCTGGCAGAGTTGTGCCATATTTTCCCGCCTGAAATACATTTTACAAGCATTCGTACAATATCATGCCATACTTAGGACTTACACATATTTTTAACTTCCTTAACAGCTATTTGTCTGTTTCTACTGTCAATACTGTTTTTACAGGAGAAAAGTTTGCGCTTGGATCAACAGAAATCATCACTGAATTTCTTTGCAGACAGCTGGCACTCTCTTGGAAAAAGTCGACATTCATATTTAAGACAGCAAAGATTCCAGCCTATGAAATTTTCGTGGGTGACCCAAACGGAAATTTTTCCACGAGCAACTTGGGCGACTGTACCCCCCTCCCCACCACCAATAATACCCCTTCGCCGGACGCCTCACATCCTTAGAGAACCACTTCGAGGCGCTTCAAAGCAGTAAAAAATCTCAGTGTTAATTTGAAAATTTAAGGAGAACAACAAACTCGCCTGGATATAATAATTTAACCGACAAATGGCCTAGAAATATTAGAAATTGGCCCAATGGATCTCCATGTATATCTATTACAAAAAATGAAAATGAAAATTTGGGGAGTCAAATAGCTCATAGTAGAGATGAATTTTGAGTGCCTCACTATAAAAGAGAGGAAAATGGGATTCTGACAAAATTTTGACTAACAATTATCCTCTTTTTGAAGGAGGACCACTATTTCGGGGACTTTTGGTGTTGGGGATTTTTCGCCTACGAGTACTCTTTCTTATCTAAAAGTTTTTTTAAAAAAAATCACAAGAATTTCATACGAAAGATATAGTTATACACCCCATTTTCTACTTTTAAATACATGTTGAAATTGTCAGTCCTCAGGGAGGAATATTCCCCTCCTCACTCCCATCTCCGCCCACACCACTTACAATGAAAAGGCTACGGTACCTGGGCTCACAGACAGCGAAACCCCCACAAGGACGCCTTCACTGGTATGTTGCGGAAAAGAGCAGTAACTCAATTTGAACATGAGCCTCAGTTTGCAATCGCTCTAAAGCGTTTCACGGCCCACTCCAGAATAGAGCTCCTCCTTTCTTGCGCAACATGGCCGGTCTAATCGAGAGCATTTAAGGGCCACCAGGCGGATCGAGAAAGAGAGACGGAGGGTGGGGGTGGGGGTGGTCGGGGGTAAATTGAATTAGAGGACCCGGCCTCGGGAGCACAGAATGGCACGAAGCGGCCGTAATTAATTATTTAAAACAATGAACGCGACGTATTTATCTTGATTTGAGTCGTAGCTCTGTATCGGTTAAGCTTTCGGTCGCAGACCATGGGACACAGCAGAGGGGATTTCGATATGAACCTCGAGGCGCGTAAGGATATGTGCCGGCCGCGACTCGAGTTGAAATGCACTTACTGTTGTCTCCCTTGCCAAGGAAATATTCCCCTCTCCCCCTCGCTCATCCAAGCATCGCATGATTTACCAGCAAACGGGGAACGGGCGCTTGTCTTTGGTTATTGATGAACAGCGTAAGACAACAAAACGAGCGGGAGATTGGAACAATTCCTAAGTCCTGTTTAGAGTAAAATTAGCCGATATCCGCACGAGCCAGGATCGAAAATTACAGTGGGATGGCACGGCGATCTGGGCCGAGGGTACCATTGGAGGGGGGGGGGGCTGGAGCGTAAGGCGTCGAAAACTGTGTACATATGATCCAAAGTGGAGAAATGGTGCTGGGTCCACGCCATTTTGCGGGGAAATCAAAGCCAAGAAGTTCCAAAAATTATAATTACAGTCAATTTTGACCACAGCCAAGAAGTTCCAAAAATTATAATTACAGTCAAGCCAAGTTACAGCCAAGAAGTTTCAAAAATTATGATTACAGTCAATTTTGACTGTAATTATAATTTTTGGAACTTCTTGGCTTTGATTTCTCCGCGGAATGGTGTGGACCAAGCACCATTTCTCCACTTTGTTACATACAGTATTCGGGCCACTTCTTAGTGTCTCTCTCTCATTTATAATCCAAAATCAAGATACATTGATGGAATATTAAGTAGTCTTAGGTAGGATACCCATGTGGGGGGCGTGCGGGCATTATTTCAAAAAAGCAAAAATTCAATGCTGTAAAACGATTGTAATCATGCGCGGAAGAATTAAAATAAATTAAATGTCTTTCTCCGTTCACACTATCGTTATAACAAGAACCTCTAAATAGCGAGAAAATCATTCGGTCCATTGAGCTTTATTAAATACTTGTGTTTTCATCCCGACGTGGCAACGGAGGAAATCTCTCGGTAGCGAGCGGCCATATAGACCAGACTCATGGGTCTAAACGCAGGTTCATACATATACCTAGGAATTTGCCTTCTCAAGAGCGTAAACAATGACTATTGCCGTCGTTCACAAGTTTCAAGCGGCTCACAAATATCGGTGCAGCTCCAGGAGGTTAACCGCTTGTAAATAAACAGATGAAAATCAGTTGGAATTTGTGTAATTATGGTATGTATGTTTTATTTAATTTTGTTTCTTCATAATTTTAAATGACAGTAATCCATACCGAGTGTGTAAAAACTTGATTTTAGTAACAGGTTGATAAACGCTGATTCCACGAGTCAACTAATCGCGCCAAACATAGAACGGTCGGCGTTAAGTGGATTAGCGCCTACAAGGCTGCGGAAATACTTCACGCATTGCGCCAAACACAGCACGGCGAGCGCGGCACGGCGCACGGTCGGCATTGACCGCACATCAGCGCCTACAGGACTGACGGAATACTTCACGCATTGCGCGTTCACTACGGTGCGCGCTAAACTAGTTGAAAATTCGTATTTTCTTGGTGCCGGATCTACCGGGATGTACACCATGGCGACCTGTGCACACTGCGAACGTGCAATCTTAGGATCGAGGGATCGTGGATATTTTGCACCCTTCAATGGTACCTTATTCTATTGGGTCATTTATGTCGGATTTCGTCTGTCTTTTTTTTAATCGACAATTGATAAAACGAGAACCTCTTTATGGCGAAGAAATCCGCCGGTCTCTTGCGTTCTCGTTAAAGAGATAGATTAATATAGCATGAAAACCAGATCTATCGGCCGCGGATAATTATTTTCAATTGTTAAAGCTTACCTGGCCGTTGCCAACATTTTCTTTTGAAGGCGACCTGTTCAGAGGCGTCCTGAGAGACTCTGGTAAAAGGTCCATGAGGTTCGTGGTGTGCGGTTGATACCTCAAGATGAGGACACATGTTGAGACTAAAGTATATGCAAGTAAAGTACCTGTTGAAAGCAAAACGAGAGTAATTAAGATCATAAAATGTACAAACTTTTTCGAGAAATTTTCACGTCAAGCAGTGTAGAACACTGCAATTTTTTTCCTACATTCCATATTGAAATTCGTCTTTTATTGAATTCCATTCAAGAAATAATAAAAAAAAACCGACCAGCGAGATCATAGTATTATTTTAAAATGTTAATATACATGCAATGAATTTCCTTTAAAAAAAGGAGCTGTCATAGAAATTTCGAAAAACGAGATTTTGATACATAAGCCTGAAAAGATTCTAACGGTTTTTGTGAGCCCAAGTTTTTGGAGAAAGATTTAAAATTGACCAAATTATAACTTTATCAAGACATGCCCCAGGAAATCACACTGACCTTCAAGTTTTAAACGGTTTTTAGTGCTTTCCCTCCCCTGGGAAAATTTCTACATGCACGAGCTCTCATTCTTTGCTGGTTTTTAACAAATAACAACAAGAAAAGCCGATGGATTTTTTAAGCGGACAGGTGCTTGATTTTGGGTTTATTAGAAGCTTATTGAAGGAAGATCAAAGGATTATTGAGCTATGGTTAGAAGGCTTATCGAGGATCTAATAACTGACGGATGAGGAGAACGGGGTTTCCGGGATATGAAGATGGGCTTGCTGTGCTACTTGTTGACTTGCTCCGGAACTAAGCGAACATTCCTTGAGCTCATATCAAGAGCCCTTTGCGCCAATCTGCACGCTAATTTGTGGGTTTCCAAGTCAGTATGCGAGGTTGCTATAGGCAGCAAATAAGAGGGGCTTGGAGGACAAGGCGCATAAGTGAAGTTTTTGCTATTCCAAGAAATTCGTGTTTAAAGTTTCAAAATTGCATGGAGCCTCATGGCAGAGAGGAAGTTTAAACTAATTTTTTGATGCTTTAAAGTTGGACTTTAATTAGGAATTATTCACGGAATATACTTTCAAACTAGTTTTAGTTGAGTTCCCGAATATCTCAATTTTTTAAAAAATTGCACCTACGCGCCTTGTCCACCAAACCCTTCATATAATCTTTCACTTTAAAAAAACGAAACATTTTATTGACTGCCACACCCAACAAGGTCAAAGTTCTGGTAAAAGTTGGTGAAATGACTGAGAATTCATAGTGACCGGTGACCACCATGAAAATTGATAGTGATATTCGGGTTGTTTTCTTAGTTATTACTTTTTAAAAGCAAAACAACCAGGTGTTTAGAAATTTCACTTAAAAGTCCTACATAACGAGTTGAGAGTGATAAAGTTCATTTTCGTGTCAAATAAGAGCTTAAATATAAGTTACATAAAAATTCGATTATTTTGTGCCTCGAACAATGGAACACATCATATTAAATTTCCAAACAGTATTTTCTCAAAACTACGTTCTTTTGAACTACTTTAAGCTGCAATAACTCCGGTTTAATCGGAAATTTTTGGAGGTTTCTTTGTCTTAAAATGTTTGAGGAACACACTGCTCTGGTATCAGTTACTCAATTTAGGGTTCTTAAATATCAACGTTTTTATAATTAATTTTATGTATGCACGTTATTCTGTTTTTATGATTTTTGCTCAAATGTAAGAAGCTCAAAGCTATTATAGAAATCATCCCCAGAGCTCCAAAAACCACTTTTCTCGTTGTTAGCTGGATGCCCTCCACCCCTTCCGCCATCACCTGTCGCAGCTTGATTTGCTTGTTGAGCGCTGAGAGCCCTGTAACTACACCCCCACCCCTCTCGCCCGCTCAAAAACGCTGACCCCTGTTGTTCCAGATCAAGGCCCATACAAACGCTGTTGCTCCTCTTGATAACGCAGACAAATCCCCTCGGCTCTGCTGCACTTAGCGTGCCGCTCATTATAATTTCATCCACTGATGCCAAGTCCTAAGAATACTAATATTTACATCCGTGTGATATTTTCGGTAAAAAAAAAAAAAAAAAATTAAAAAAAAATAATGCTTTCCGAAAAAGTCAGCATCAAAGTTGGTAAAATTCTGCAAAATGTGCAAATTGCTGCGGAACGTAAAGTAAATTGCAAATTATGCAACTAAATATTACTACTTGTGCAACTAATTATGCTTATATGTTACGTAAAATTTTTGTTCACACATTCACTAAAATTAAGTGATATAACAAGCGGTTTCAATGAGTGCAAGATGTTATTTTTTATGTAAGTATAAAAGAACAGAAATAAAGGCTAAATTCTGAAAAAACATAGCTAAAAATGGCGTTTCAAAATCGGCGGCTGTATGTTTAAAATTCAATGTTTGTGAGATCGTGTGTAGAAAGGCTACTGAGTGCCGAAAAGCTCAAAATTAAATTATCCGGTTTATTGCCGAAAATTTTCAAGAATAGTTTGGCATAAGAATTTCCTCAGAATATCAAACGAAATATTGAGTCATAATGCCTTGAGGCTACGCTGTTTGAATTTTTATCATGTTATTTCTAAAACTCGAAGTTTATTATGTTTCAGAATGTACATGTGAAGTTTTAACAATTATAATGGGGTTTTACGCATACTTATTTAGCGGAGACTGTAACTAGACACTTTGCAACAGTCTTGTAGCACGCGGCGGTTTCATCTGGAACTGAGGTTCGGTTAGGTTAGATTAGGTTAGGTTCGATTCGGTTAGGATGTCTTTTGCATTGATTGATACGGAAAACTTTACATTTCACCCGCGATTGGGTTTTTTATGAATGTATGACAGTGTTCTAGGAAAAATTCGATGACGAAAATGTATTGGTGTTAAGACTATTACTCCCTCCATGGCCCCGGTTCAGTTCGGTTACGGAGTCTTTTGCATTGACCGGTACGGAAATCTTTATTTTTCACCCGCGATTTGGTTTTTTACAAATGGATGTTGACAGTGTTCTGGGTAGAATTTCCATGATGAAAACGTATTTGCATTGAAATTCTGACTCCCTGGATGGCGCTTGTCGAATTGGCGACTGTGCTTTCTGCGAATTCGCAAGCAGTGGCGCAGCGGGAGCTTTGACGGTGCAGCTCCTCTGATAAAATGCATAATTTCGAATGTTTACTTTTTGTTAGCAAAACAGTGGAATGTGCGAGAACCTAAACGGTATCCGGTGTGACTCTTGCCTCTTGTTTACGTTCGATGCCGTTATGCAGCGTGCGTGTGCGAAGGCACGTTTCCCCTCCCACCACGAGGCTCCAAGGCTCGCCGCAGCACATCGCTGCCGTGTTAACGAACAGAGCAAATGGACGTATTTCTTCCAAAAGGTACCAGTGTCAGGTGGGAAAGAAGGGGTGTGCTTGTTTGCCGAGGGCCGTTAGAATGAATGGGAATTATAAAGCGCCAGTGACGTCAGCGCCAAAGAAACCGTTTCTGTTGTCGCTCTTGCTCGGCGTTAACTCATGAACCATGTCCACCACGCTCTTTTCTTACGCCCATGGATCAAGAGTGCCGCATACAGTTGGCACATAGTTCCGCGTGACAGAACGTAAAATCCCGCTCATAAAATATTTCAACTTTTGAAAAACTACACTGAAAAAAAAGAATCTTTAATTTGCCAACAAAAAGTATTTTTTCTTGAATCAAGAATTTTTCTGGTTGGCATAAGCTACTTTTTTGCTTAACCCCAACATTATTTTTCTTGTATCAAGAAAAAGTCAGCTTAAAGCAAGATAATAAAAAAATTCTTGGCGGCAAATTCAAGAATCGCACCATGCTTGATCCAAGCTACTTTTTTTCCGTGTAAGGTGGATTTTTATAGAGCTTTTTGAGGACCGGTCGTGTTCGAATTCCATCTCTTGTTTTTGAATTGAAGAAAGCCTCTAAAGGCATTCCTGCAACGAATTTCAACCGTTTTTCGATGTTTTCAACGGTTTGAAAATTGTTGGATTATTTGAGAAATTTTTACCCTCGTTGGTACCTGCAGGGACGAATGATGGCCGTTGAACAGCCTTGGTAAAATGCAGAGCCGGATTTAGGGGATGGCCATATGGGCCGCGGCCCATGGCAGCAATTTTAGGGGGCAGCAAATTTTGCAATTTTTTAAATGTAAGGATTAAAAAAAATTGGATTCAGAAAAAAAAATTACAAGCAAGAAAAGGCGACAAAATCTCTCATTTCCAAAGAGTATAGTAAATTCTAATTTTGTCGTCTTCCGGTGGCACAAGAGACAGAACCTTTAATTAGTCGAGTCTGGAACGACGCGGCGCAGAGAGCAATGATGACGAGGACTTCAGATGAAAAGGAGAAGCCCTCGGCGCAGCGGTCGGCATTTAATACACGACTACGAAACTGCATGAATACTTCACGCATTGCGTCAAACATAATTCGGTGAGCAGCGGTCGATGTGAAACGCATAGCGCCTAGAAGACTGCATGAATACTTCACGCATTGCGTCAAACACAGTGCAGTCAGCGCGGCTCGGTGGCAGAAGTTAAAATCATTAAACCACATTTATGTTTGTTCTTTCATAATTTTTTTGTTCATTTCTTATAAATGGAAGGCCTTGTCCACACACAGATAGGTTCACGGAGCTTAACTTTCGCGCAAAGTTCCGTGAAATTTAGCTAGTAGTGTTAACACGGCTTTCGCAAAAAAAATGTTTCCAACACGAGTAAACGCGTCTTATGCACCCCTCCCCTCCGGCACTTCACTTGATAGTTTTTATTGATGTTCCAAAACGAATGAGAAAGGGGCGGCAAGTAGATAAATCCGGCCCTAGTAAAATGAATCGTTTTTAAAAACAAATACGATGGCGTGTATATTAAGCATACGATGCAATCTAGAGCGTGTTTTCACTGATCAGATATAAAAAAAAGCGGGAGTCTCACCTATAGACATCATTTCAACAAGAACTTCGAGTTTAATAAGAAGGGCGGCAATGGCGGCCGCGGCACCACTACAAAACGTGGCGAAGACCGGAGTGCCGGTGAAAGGCAAAACTTGACCCAGAGACCTGTAAGTAAATAATCGCAAGACGTGCTTTAGAATAATTAATAAATGAATAGGGAACAGGCACAGTGTAAACTTCCCACTTTTCAGACACGAGAAAATGAGCTAATAGCGGAGATAAATTTGAAATATTACCCATTAAAATAGTGGCGCATGGATTTTTTTTTTAAACCTTAGAGTATCTTGAGAGAGACTAAGCAGGATCCTTCAGTAGAAATATCGAAATAAAATCGGGAGTGCATTTCACTCCGAAGTCCATATTGCTCCCTACCGACCCGAGTGACATGCATGCGGAACGGACTTCACTCTTTCTGCGGAGCGAACTTTGCTCTTATACCGAACGGAAATTACTCTTCCTGTGGAGTAAATTACGCTCTTACGGCGCGGATTTCACTTAACATTCAGATCACTCGGGTTTGCTGGGAACATTATTACCTCTGAAGTGAAATGCACTCCAGATTTTACCCCGAGACTTCTAACAGTGCACTTCTCCTTTCTTGCTCTGAAAATAATTGACACACTGACATGAATGAAAAATCGGGTGCATGCACGTAGCATTCAAAGTCGAGGTTACTGATTTAAAAAACATTTAAAAATAATTTGGGAACCAGTACATGTAGGATTATTGAAATATGTGGGCGACAAAATATTCAATACCACGAAAAGCATATTTAATATCCTCCAAGTTGAAACATTTAGTTTACATGATCGACAGTCAAGGGATGCTGTACTGAGGAAACTTAAGAAACTTATACGCACTGAGGAAGCACAGCAGTAGATGAAGGAAATTCAGCAGACTGTTAGGGAAACTGAATACTTTCGTTTGAGAATGGGGCGCAATCGCACATTACACACGTTAATTTCTCACTGATGAAATGAGACTTGTTAATTTTCGATGCGACTCCCGTGTTCGACGTAAAATTTTGATGAGGAAACATGTACAGTTTTGCATTTTAATGTGTACATTCCAACCCTGCTCTGTGTGATGGTCCTCAGGGGTTCGTTGTTGCGGAACAGCGCTGAAAATCAGAACTTTTAGCCATCTGAACCCATATAAAATATCCACATTAAATGGCATACCTTGGCAACCATTGTTGCCAAACAGTAATGAAAAATCAGCACTTTCCCCTATTTAATTAAATTATCCACATTATATAGCTAGCAACCTTGCGGTCCGAAACGTTACTGACGGCGAGACTACGATACAACGAATCTCCGTTTGCGACGTTACAAAGTTTCCGCCATATATTTTTTTAAAAAAATCGCTCGATCATCGTTTTTGCACAAATATACTTTGATTAATTAGTCTTCGTTCTTTTAAGAATACTCTCCGAAAATTTTCCCCAGAAATATTGAGCAGTCACGTGAAAAAAGAATCGTTCTCACAATGCTCAAAGCGGGTTCTAGGTTCCTCCTACTTTCTATTGGTAGTTACAATGTTATTTTTATGGTAACAGCCCTGTTGGCCCCGTTCACAATTCCTTGTTATTACCGAAACCTAATGAATGGATTATAAAAGAAAAAAACCATTGTAACTATGAAAAAACATGAAAATACGTGGGACCTAAAATGCTTAATGATCATTATAAGAGCAACACCTTTTTTTTCTCCGTTGGTATCCTTTGAAAAAAATAAAGAAGAAATATGGGTGGAACTTTTAAAAGAGTGGTCTTGATCAAGATTCGTAGTTTGGTGATCTCACCATCGCACAGTTGTCAGATTGCGCGATAAAGTATACGTCGCAGGCAATTAGCAATCGCCGGCAATTTGCAAGCTGTTCACACGTTGTTTCAATAAATCGCAATGATCCGCATCGGCATAATGCAATTTCTAAGAGTAATGGTGTTCAAAAGTATGAGCTCGGCTTGAAGCGCCTTCATTTTTTGTGATACTGTACGATTTGTCACGAAGTTAGTTTAGTTGCCTGTCCGATCTCAACCCAACTAATGTCACAGTTCATTATACACGCTCTTCTAAGTGTGCATAATGTGCATATTCCTGCCGTGTTTTTAAGGATGGAAAAGTGTCTATTCACATTACAGGCAACATAATCAGCACTCTAATCTTGTTCTTTTATTTTTGAATTTTATGATTTTCTATATTTATCCACCACCAGCTTGTAAATTGCCGTCGATTGCTGATTGCCTGTGACATATAGATACTTTATAGAGGTTTAAATAGGGAAAATTGCTGAATTTTCATCACAATCTGGCAACTATGCACCATCGATTCACGAATATTTTAAATTAAGGGCAGAAAACGAACCTGAAAATGAGGCCATCCTGAGCCATGGCGTAGACTACTCTGGGCATGGGGAACATGGAGCCGAACATGCTGACCGTGAGCCCGGCGAGCGCCCCGATGGCGACGATATATTGGCACTTGTACGCCCCCACTTGACCGAACATCTCGACCAGCCCTGAGTCCTGATCCACCTCTTCGTAGGGAACTGAAAATACGATAAAATCAAAAAAAGTTGAGATGAGGTAAAAAATGGAACCAATTGAGTTACTCTCACTAGACACAAAATCCGTCGTTTTATAGACGAAACAATTTGACTAAATGGACCACATTTTGCAATAAGGAACCACTATTTCCGGTTCATTCTTGATTCAACATTGAAGCCATTGGTTTCCGTATGCAGAAAGGTGCCTTTACAGAGGAGCCAGAGAAAGTGGTCCTCGTTGCAAAATGTAATCCAACGTTCTTCTCCTTCTTTCATAGAGCCAAGGCCCTGTTTGTCACCCTGGTAAAAATTGGGAGTAGAATCTGTGTTCCAAAATACCATAGACCTACAGCCGGCAGTAAGATTTTCAATAGCTTCTATAGCCGGCAACACAATTTCTTATAGCCTTTTATAGCCGATGGCGATTAAGCAACAGCCTGGCGATGAAGTGTATGCTAAACGTTACTAATTACGGCGGCTAGGACTTAGTGAGTTTTTGGACTACCGCTCTCTTTTTGGGCCGCAGTGTCTTGATTTAATTTGCAAGGAAAGCTCCGCACTTTTGAAGGATGCCTGCCATTCCTAATATGTTGGAGCGCCTTCAATTTCGTATGATACTGTGGTGTGAAGTAGTTGCTTCAACTTCAAGCGCCGCGGTACGCTGCGGCGCGGCGCGGCGGGCGGGCAGCCAGCGCTGATCGCGAATTGGCGCCTACAAACCTAACTGGGATACTTCACGCATTGCGCAATGCGTGAAGTATCCCTGTTAGGTTTGTAGGCGCCAGTGCGCCGCCGCCGCTCCGCTTTGTGTTAGTAGTCCGGGGGCATACGTGATCCCGTGTGCAGGTTTGTGAAGGCATATTGTGTGATACGTCAATCTCTTCGTTTTGATGTCTAGAAAAAGAAAATCGATGATGGCCATCTCAAATTTCATACAAACCCCCCCAAAATCAAGATGGCGGCCAAAATGGCGGTTTTGGGGTAAAAAAATTTAAAGTTTGCAAATACGTCGTGTCGGGTATCGATTCTTATGTATTTTTGATCGTAGAGTCCGAATTTTCAGTCAAAAGTTAGCTCAAAGGTCATTTTCAGGCCAAAATCCAAGATGGCGTCCAAAAATACCTCTTACGGGTGATAATTTGCCTATTCGGGTCTACATGCATTGTGAGGTATCAATTATTAGGTTTTCAGGGTCGTAGAGTCCGAAAATGAGGTCCATTTTCCACTACGGCCCTCAAGAAGCCCTAAAATCAAAGATGGCGCCCAAAATGGCCGCCGGTCTTGCGGATGAAACTGCCATTTAGGGCAGCTATAACAAACAATACGTTCAAAATTAAGTTTCTTGGGTCAAGAAGTTCAAATAGGAGATCAGATGTTTACTCCTACAAAAAATTAAGCCTCCGAATCGAAAATGGCTGCCGACATTGTTGCCAGTTAAAGGCGCAGACCGGTAAATGACTGATATTAAGGGATTTGCCGAAGGAGGGGTTTCGATAAGGGCCGTTGTTGGGCCCATACCCTGAAATTCTTCAATTTTACGATTGTTTGCTCATTTAAAGACTAAAGTTTGCGGAATGTATCATGATTTTGTCATTTCCGGTCTATTTAGGGGTCTAATACCGGCCTAAACATGAGACTAAAGGCCGATTTTGGCGAAAAATGCGGGGTTTTTTACATTCGACGTGACGCTGTTTCATAACGATCCCATCATCGGAGGAGATTGTTGTCCTTAAAGTACGTTCATTAAGGATGTAAGATAGTCACTTTGCCCAATTTTCGTTGATGGCAAACCTTGCGCTCAGAGTTAAAACGATCTTCTTATAATTTTCTTGTTTTTCATCGTTATTTAAAATGGCATAGAAAGGGCGACTCATCTTAAACCAGAAATAGATTCCTTGGTGGAAAATGTACGCAGCTTGCCATAACTGTCCTCCAAAAAATTAATGGATTAAAACCTCCCCCCCCCCAAAAAAAAAGGAAAACCTGTGTTGCCATATTTTATTGCCTAACATCACAGAAAACCGCGTGATTATATCAGTATTTGGAGGCTGTTCTTCGTAGAGCACATTATTAGCAAAGCTCAAAACCCTTGATTTTTCATACGTTACGATCGCATGATTAGTGATTATATAAATGCAATTATCCATTATTATTTTGTTTATTACATGTATGTATCTATAGAGACTCTTATCGTGGCGCGGCATTCCCACATATCATCGGTAAAAATCGAGAAAAATGCAACATTGAAACCAAAATGAGAATTCTACTATCATCGCGCTGAGAATGCTAGCCTTATCCAAAACTAAAAATTCATTGCAATAAAATGTGTAATATTGGTTAAAAGGCAATACGACATAGAACATGGTCTTATCCGGGTGGTATTACCTGTGCAAAGTGGGCGATAGAGTCGTCAACTGCTGAGCTCATATTGCATCTCTCATTTGGTGCCTCACTCATTACAGACATAAGTCTGAGCCAGAAAAACTAAGCGTTACTGCTAGATTAACATGCATGCGTCATTTCTCTAAAATTATGACATGGCAGCTCCAAACAAGAGGTTTGATGCAGGAGACAGGGAACCTGATGAAGAAGTAACTGATGAGGAAGCTGTTAGGTGGCTGGGCAGAAGTGAGGGAAACCAGGGTTTCAAAATATTTTTAGGAAGCAGAATTCTGATCGATCGCAGGCAATAAGAATGGCGGGGGGCAGGGATTGTCAGGGTGGTGAAAAATCAGCATTAAGCACTCGTGATTCTGACACATGGCTTACTTTTTTTTCGGATCTCAGATCACGGTCAATGATTCAAAGTTGCACCTTCGTTTGTAAATATCGTGTACTAAATTCGTAAGATAATGGGCCACCTACAAGCCCAAAATTTTAAAGCAATTATCACTAACACAAAATATAATCTACTTGCATCTCTGAATACTGCAATTCGAGTCTCACATATTTATTTCAAAATGCTCATATTCCGAGAAAGTGGCTGAAATCCTCGGCCAACTAGGATTTTTCTCGATTTTTACCGATGATATGTACGAATGCCGCGCCACGATGGGAGTCTCTACAGATACTTACATATAATAAACAAAATAATGATGGATTATGGAGATTTCGCATATATGAGGAATTTGCGCTTTGATTGTTGATTCTTACGTAAAAGTTCGGGAGAAACACGATGGTGCCACTGGTTTTCTCTGAAATCAACTCCCAAGCTCAAAAAAAGCTCTCAAATTGAGCCCGAAATGGAGGGGATATCCCACGCTATCCTGAGAGTCCACCTCTAAATCAAGACAAACTCTCTATGCAAAGATAAGGAGCAAGTACATTCACAGGGCTACCACTTTATTTGGGGACTCCACAACAGAAAACGCAGCAACCTTGCTAATGTATTTGCTCCCTATCTTTGCATGGAGAGTTTGTCTTGATGTACAGGTGGACTCTCAGGATAGCGCGGGATATCCCCTCCATTTTGGTCTCAACTTAAGAGCTTTTTTTGAGCTTGGAAGTTGATTTCAGAGAAAGCCATTGGCACCATCGTGTTTCTCGCGAACTTCTACATAAGAATCCATAGTCAAATTGCAAATTCCTCACACATGCAACATCTCCATTGCATTTATATAATCACTAATCATGCGATCGTAACGTATGAAAAATCAAGGGTTTTGAGCTTTGCTAATAATGTGCTCTACGAAGAACAGCCTCCAAATACTGATATAATCACGCGGTTTTCTGTGATGTTAGGCAATAAAATATGGCAACACAGGTTTTCCTTTTTTTTGGGGGGGGGGAGGCTTTAATCCATTAATTTTTTGGAGGACAGTTATGGCAAGCTGCGTACATTTTCCACCAAGGAATCTATTTCTGGTTTAAGATGAGTCGCCCTTTCTATGCCATTTTAAATAACGATGAAAAACAAGAAAATTATAAGAAGATCGTTTTAACTCTGAGCGCAAGGTTTGCCATCAACGAAAATTGGGCAAAGTGACTATCTTACATCCTTAATGAACGTACTTTAAGGACAACAATCTCCTCCGATGATGGGATCGTTATGAAACAGCGTCACGTCGAATGTAAAAAACCCCGCATTTTTCGCCAAAATCGGCCTTTAGTCTCATGTTTAGGCCGGTATTAGACCCCTAAATAGACCGGAAATGACAAAATCATGATACATTCCGCAAACTTTAGTCTTTAAATGAGCAAACAATCGTAAAATTGAAGAATTTCAGGGTATGGGCCCAACAACGGCCCTTATCGAAACCCCTCCTTCGGCAAATCCCTTAATATCAGTCATTTACCGGTCTGCGCCTTTAACTGGCAACAATGTCGGCAGCCATTTTCGATTCGGAGGCTTAATTTTTTGTAGGAGTAAACATCTGATCTCCTATTTGAACTTCTTGACCCAAGAAACTTAATTTTGAACGTATTGTTTGTTATAGCTGCCCTAAATGGCAGTTTCATCCGCAAGACCGGCGGCCATTTTGGGCGCCATCTTTGATTTTAGGGCTTCTTGAGGGCCGTAGTGGAAAATGGACCTCATTTTCGGACTCTACGACCCTGAAAACCTAATAATTGATACCTCACAATGCATGTAGACCCGAATAGGCAAATTATCACCCGTAAGAGGTATTTTTGGACGCCATCTTGGATTTTGGCCTGAAAATGACCTTTGAGCTAACTTTTGACTGAAAATTCGGACTCTACGATCAAAAATACATAAGAATCGATATCCGACACGACGTATTTGCAAACTTTAAATTTTTTTACCCCAAAACCGCCATTTTGGCCGCCATCTTGATTTTGGGGGGGTTTGTATGAAATTTGAGATGGCCATCATCGATTTTCTTTTTCTAGACATCAAAACGAAGAGATTGACGTATCACACAATATGCCTTCACAAACCTGCACACGGGACATATGTTTTGTTACGTATGCCCCCGCACTATAGGCTCTAATATTTAATCTCGGGGAGTCAGCGTTTTTCAACTCATGACTTTGAAATGTTTGCACACTCTGTATGGATTATTCTCATTTTAATGGATTAAAAAAATATGTAGTAAAGGAAAATATAATGTAATATTATGGTATATGTAAATATTAAGGTGATTCCGTAAAAACTTAAGGATTCACAAAGCACAAGAATTTCTACGCAATTTCTTATAGCCTTTTATAGGCGATTGGAAAAAAGCAACAGCCAGGCAATAAAGTGTAAAGCCCGGCGATAGGAACTATAGCCGGCTGTATAATTTTTTACCGCTTCGTGTAGCCCGGCCGTATGATTTTTTCCACTTTCTACAGCCAGCTATATGATTTTCTATCGCCCTCTTCAGTCGGCTATAAGAACTCCTATTTTGAAACGCAGCTCCTATCGCCAATTTTTACCAGGGCAAGCATCTACTCTTCAGAAGTCAGTGATCTTCTCCAGGTTACAATGTTTACAATGTTACAATGTTAATGTAATGTAAATTACAATGTTTTTCTCAGTTTCCATACCAAATGTTTTCTTTAAAAAAATACAATGAACTCAGTTCATCAAGCACTATCATATCGTCATCATATCGTCAGCGAATTTGCAAAAATGCGTATCTCGGTTGCCGTGTTTCAAAATCTCTGCTACTATTTCATCCTTTCAAAAGAGACCGAACCAACATGGTGACTCGAAGTGATCACAGAATATTCTTTATAAAGAGAGGAAAATCACTGAAATTTTAAAAAAAATGACGTTCAGTAGTTTTTCATGTATTAAAATATGACAGGAAGTCTGCAATGCCGCAAGCCGAGATACGAATTTCTGCAGTTTCGCCATCAAAGTGATTCAATACCTAATATTTTACCGTGCAGAGATAAAAATGGGTAATAAATTCAGCATGACGAAATTTTTGAGTGGGCTAAAAAAGAACCTGGAAGTTTTTAAGCAACAGCAAGAAAGAGGTGAAGAGGTTTTTTTTTTTTTTTTTTATCTGTGTGCTTGCCCAGTATCATAAAAGGGTTTTCGCGAAATGAATTTTAGGATAGGCTGATTACATTGGAGATCTCAAGGCTCTATAAAACCCTCATCGGCTGTCATTCCTTAGATTTTGTAATACAAATTTGCAAGTCTACAGTTCAAATGCGTCAAAATAGCCCATAAATAAGCCAGGATTTCCTTTGAGTTGTCCTCATAAAAGGGGGTTTATCAAAAAGCGTTCGGTCCTCCCATCGTCAAAGGGATGCTCTGAACGCCGCGGAGAATATTTCCAAGGAGTTCCGACTTGTAGCGCGGAGGAAACTTATTAAAATGTAGGAAAATTAGATGATTAAACTACGCACGAAGTCGCGAAGATTAAATACTGAAACTCGACGAGGACCGTGGAGTTTTGACGAGGTACGAAACAAGGGAGGGAACTTTCCCCCGGTGGGAGATAAAGTTCAATGGATCAACAAGTTCAAAGTTTCATTTTTTGTTTTGTGCTCCTCTGTTTCACGCAGCCTCCCATCGACTTTTAAAGAGCCTTTATGATGAATCAACCTCGTTTGTCTCAGTGAAAAAATCACCACGATACATTGCATCGAATACAACTCTAAACCCAACCACTATTATAGTATCTTAGGATGTCCAAGCCAATTATGAACAGATCCTCCAACATCTATACGTACTCATTAAAAACATAATCTAATCCCAAATAGCATGGTTGCACAAAAATCAAAACACTTTGGTGCCATTCTCTGCGTGGGATAAAACTAACACTCCGCGCGCACTGGAGATAAAAATTGACTTGAATTTTCTGCCGAAAGGATCCTCTCATGAAGCTAGAATCGTTAGATTCGATGAGGTTTTTGCTTGATATAAGTGGCTTTCTCCTTGATATAAACAGCATTTCGACGGTAACACTATCAGACCACGTATCTCGTTTGCGGTGTTTGAAAATCTCCGAGCCCATTTTATTTTTTTGAAGGAGAACAAATCAACATCATTCCTTGAAGTTTCCAAAGAGAGTTCATCTCTTAGAGAAGAGAGATCACGGAAGTTTTCAAAAATTGATGTTGAGTAGTTTTTCATTTAAAGGATGAAGTGTGACAGGAAGTCTGCGACGTCACGAGCCGAGATACGTGGTTTGGTAGTTACACCATCTATTTCCTGTTGATTCAAGAGAAATCTATTTTCGGCAGCAATACCAGAATATTTTCGCTTGATCCTAGTCACCGTTTTCTAGAGCGGTGCGGGACGGATTCACCTTGGTAGGATCGGATTTAACAGAAATGCCCCAAGTCGCATGAGTATGGACCGAGCAAAAGAGATTTGAAATTTTAGACAACCGCATAAGAATCAATGCTAAGGATAGACGACTACTTTCACCAGGGCCGGATTTAGGGGGTGGTCACATGGGCCGCGGCCCATGGCAGCAAATTTAGGGGGCGGCAAATTTTGCAATTTTTTTAAATGGAGGTGTAAAAAAAAATTGGATTCAGATGGACTCAGATTGGACTTGAGATGAAAAGGAGAAGCCCTCGGCACGGCGGTTGGCATGTAACACATATTAGCGCCTACAAGACTGCATAAATACTTCACGCATCGCGTCAAACTTAGTGCGGTCAGCAGCGGTCCGCGTGAAACGCATAGCGCCTACGAGACTGCATGAATACTTCACGCATTGCGTCAAACACAGTGCGGTCAGCGCGGCGCGGCGCGGCGCCGTGGCGGAAGTTAGACCACATTCATGTTTGTTCTTTCATAATTTTTTCGTTCATTTCTCATTAATGGAAGGCCTTGTCAACATAGAGATAGGTTTACGGAACTTAACTTTTGCGCAAAGTTCCGTGAAATTTTGCAAGTAGTGTTGACAGCAGTGGCGTGGCGTGAATTGCGATATATCGATTGTAATGCCATTTAAACCTATGGAAAAAGATCGATTATCAGGGTGTTCGCAGCGAACACCTTAGTAATCGATTCTTTACCATAGCTTCAAATGGCGAGATATCGATAATCGATTATTCACGCCACGCCACTGGTTGACAGGGCTTTCGCAAAAAATGTATCCAACACGAGTAAATGCGTCTCATGCACCCCTCCCCCTCCGGCACGATCACTCGATGGCTTTTATTGATGTTTCAAAACGAATGAAAAGGGGGCGGCAAAATACAGGCGGCCCGTGGGCGGCAAGTATAGGTAAATCCGGCCCTGACTTTCACGATCAGTTTTTTTTCTTTTTTGGAAATTTGAATTTTCGGAAGGAGATTTACGACTTGTTGGAATCAAAACTACTCCCAACTATTTTTCCCCCAAAATGCGACTTATATTGCGTTTCTATTAAACTCTGTGCAATTAACCCTTGAATGTTTATACGAACCTATTAGTGTGAGCATCATAGATGAGGTGACGTAGGCCATGAGAATTATTACTAAACTGCTAACTATTGCTAAAGGAATGGATTTCTTAGGGTTGTTCGCCTCCTCGCCCGTCGTTGCGATTATGTCAAACCCTATGAATGCATAAAAGCACGTCGCCGCGCCTGTGAATACCTAAAACATACAAAAAAGCAGAATTAATTTTCAATTTTTCAAAATTTTTTCAAATGAAAATTTATGAACAAACAATCGTGACTATGGCCAAAATAAAAAAGACTTTTGGACCGAAGTCTCAGTTCTCAGTGCTTTTAGAACAAATGGTTGGTCTGTGGATTTTGAGTCCATGGTCGTCAAAAATTAATAGATTAATTTCCGCCGTGTTGGTCTAAAACCACACGTCTACATAAAGTTCCCATCGGCACACAGTGGATCGAGTCAATAGGAGAGGTCGGACAAAATTTGGAAACTTTAAACGCTTATAACTCCGTTTATACGAAACTTTCAAGTTCTGAAAGAGGCTCCATTGGTTTTCTCGTGAAATTTTCTTGCGGAAATTAGCTTTAAATTTGAAATGTGACAAAATAAGTATCCAAATTGGCAGTTTTAGTAACAAATTTCATGTTCGACCTCTCCACATGACTCGATCCACCGTGCGGCATTGAAGAGTAATTGGTGCAAAAACGGCTCTCAATTGCAAAATCGCGATTCCACAAAACAGCGATTGAATATTTCAGAATGGTGCCAGTTTGTTACCTGGTATAGCATTGGCCGAGGCCAAAAAAATTTAATTTTATCCTCAAGTTAAGGTTGGCACGATTGAAACACAGAAAAATGTTGTTGGAAATGAGGAAAACAGAAATAGAAACGGTATATTAGGGCCATTTTTGCGTAAAGAACGACTAATTTGAGAGGTAAATTTTGTGTTTAAATGCCTGATACTTAGGTCGTTTTTGGATAGAATCCCTTTTAACCCATGGGGGATGCTAAAAGGGGTTTGTATGAGAAAAGAAAAAGTTGAATTAAAAAAAACTTATAAAAAAATTGAAATTTCCGTAAAATAATGATGTATAAAATAATGATACGTATAATCCGAAAAGTTGCTCTGCGCAAAAAGGCCCGATCCCGCTCGGGCCGTTTTCGCACCGAACTTCTCAATTATCAAAAGACGATCTACGGATAAAAATGAGTTTGAAAAGCCCGATTGATTAATTACCCCCGAATTCGGCAATGGCCGCGAGAATTTTAAGCCGAGCGTTTAGTTCATAATTTGTTGAGTTAGTCGTCTCTGCCGCGCGCTTTTGTTTTCCTTCATTTTTCATCGCACGTCGCTCTTCCCCCTCCTTTCGCGGCCCGATAAGCGCCGCCTCGTCTGTGTCTTATCTCGGCGAGGAGTGCCTCTCTCCACGGAGATTATGTTCTTTCGTGTCGGAAAAGTTACTGCCGAAGTTGTCAATTTCGAGTCACTCCTTCCGCCCCTCAGCCCAAAATTCGCCCCAGAAGCCGCACTGTTTCCCCCTTTATCCTGGTTCTTTATCGGGACGGGCTGGAAACTGTTTGAGGTGGGGCTGTGGGAAAACTGAGGGCTGCTTTTGATAAATACTCAACCAATCCACAGAGATTATGAAGAAACTCTTTTTTCATTTTTTCCCCACATGAGAATATTTGGTTCATCTTCAGCAGAGGCTGTCTGCCTCCCGATATTTAAATTTTTTAAGGGAGGCTGGGCCGCGTTCAACAAAAGGGAATCAAAAGACATTCTCAGGAAAATTGAGTTCTGGATAATTTGAAACTTTTTAGAGGCATTTTTTGCCTGTCAAAAATGGGGTTCTCAAAAATTTTTAGCATGCGAAAATTTTATTTAAAATTTGTGTTTAATCATTGAACCTCACGAGAAAAAAGAAAATCAACCCTATAGTCATGTGAACCCAAACCTATAGTAAACCCAAACGCCACGTAAGTTGGTTATTTTTTGCCAGTGGCGATTCTTGAATGTTGGCAACGCATTTTTTCTCACTCTATTTAAACGTATGCAAAAGAATCGAGTCATGGTGAAGCAGCTTGCCTTCCCTAAAATCGATATTTGTAATGGATTTGAACGGAAGAAAAACAGTGTTGCCAACTTGCAAAATTGAATCTGTTTTTCGCATAAACGCCGCCCAGTTATAAGGAGAGATCTGTACAGCCAATATTTCTATAATTTTCGGCTCTTTGATAGGTAATGAACTTTTGATGAGTTTGTTGCCCTGTTTGAATTTTGGCTCAAAGTTTCTCTGTTGTGTTGTTTTGACTCTTACTCCACCAGTACAGATTATATTCTAAACAAAGGAGCGTGAAAAAGGAAATAACTCTCGATGACGATCAGAAAAGGATCCAAATAATTGTAAAGATCCAGCGTTGAATGTCCAGGCAAAGTAGGGATGAGGCAAAAGTTGATTGAACGTGTTATTTACCAATTTTCATGAGTGCTACTCTCACAAATTTGAGGAACGGCGGAAAAGTGTGATCATTCAATCGGAGCAGTTTTTTTATTTGGGTAGAAGTACTCGCTACAAGAGGCACGTAAACCTTTCGATTAGCAGAGATTGACAAGGGATCAGATGGGACTGTTTTTTTCACACTTCTCTCACTTCAACCCTCTCTCTTCCTTAAAATTGACTTTTATATTAATTGGGAAGTATACGTTCGTTTCTTCAAAACCACGTGCTGATTTTCCATTCTTGTTTTCACTGTTACTTTTTTTTACAGTGTTCAACCGATCAAAAAACTATAGTCAATTCTTGTCGCTAACAAAACGGCAAACAGCTGGTTGATATTTTGTGTAATATCGTTGTGCTGACTTATCAAAAACTTTGCAGGACATTGACAGCAGACTTTCAATTCAGACTCTTGCTCTCCTATACAGATACTCATCGTATGTAGCTACTTATGTCGACCGGAAGTTGAGGATTAGGCAACTTCAGACTTTAGGGCAAAGTGAACACAAAACTAGAACAAGTCGCCCTAGTAAAAATTGGCAGTAGAATCTGTGTTCCAAAATACCATAGACCTACGGCCGGCTGTAAGATTTCCAATAGCTTCTATAGCCGGATACACAATTTCTCATAGCCTTTTATAGCCGATGGCGATTAAGCAACAGCCAGGCGATAAAGTGTATGCTAAACGTTACTAATTACGGATGCTAGGACTTAGTGAGTTTTTGGACCACTGCTCTCTTTTTGGGCCGTAGTATCTTGATTTATTTTGCAAGGAAAGCTCCGTACTTTTGATGGATGCCTGTCATTCCTAATATATTAGAGCGCCTTCAGTTTCGTATGATACTGTGCATTACCTCTGGTGTGAAATAGTTGCTTCAAGCGCCGTGGCACGCTGCCGTGCGGCAGGCGGGCAGCCAGCGCGAAACGCGCATTGGCGCCTACAAACCTAACACTGATACTTCACGCGTTGCGCAACGCGTGAAGTATCCCTGTTAGGTTTGTAGGCGCCAGTGCGTCGCCGCTCCGCTTTGTGTGAGGCCCTAATATTTAATCTGGCGGAGTAAGCGTTATTCAACTCATGATTTTGAAATGTTTGCACATCCATTATTATTCTCATTTTAATTGATGAAAAAAAATATGTATTAAAGGAAAATATAACGTGTGTTTTGTAAATATTAAGGTGGTTCCGTATCAAACTTAATGATTTCCAAAGCACACGAATTTCTACACAATTTCTTATAGCCCTTTATAATCGATGGCGAAAAAGCAACAGCCAGGCGATAAAGTGTAAAGCCTGGCTATTATAGGAACAATAGCCCGGCTGCATAATTTTTTATCGCTTCGTATAGCCCAGCCGTATATGATTTTCTCCGCATTCTACAGCCAGCTATATGATTTTCTGTAGCCTTCTTTAGCCGGCTATAAGAATTCCGATGGTATTTTGAAACGCAGCTCTTATCGCCAATTTTTACCAGGGGCGCATGAGTCCTTAAAGTAGAATCCTCATTTATGTACTACGTATGACGCACTATGCGCGTTATTGTTTCCTCGAACTTATTTTGGTACCTATCAACAACTGCCAAAACATGACCTTAACATGAACATCTCAATTGAATCGATTATTTTCCAAATCACGCAAGTGCCACAATTGAGAATGCGAGAAAAACTATTTTATTCGCTTTGTTGACAATCTTCGAATTCCAATAAATGTGTGTTCTTTTAAAAGGCTGTTTTGAAATTAGACTTGACTGATTCTACCTGAGAAAACAAAAAAAAGAACAACCCCTCTACCACCAAAATATAGATTGGCGCTCACTTGATTTGGAAAATAATCGGTTCAATTTCTTTCATCGACATTTTTGGAAATTCAAGGGCGATTTTTCGGGGTTGTGAAACATTTTCGCTGCCAACATGAAGAAGGACGAGAGGAAGGAGATACTCGATCCCAGGCAAGATCAGGCATTTTTCCTTGAGCAGAAACGCTGAGTATTAGTTCTCACGTCTCATGCTTGGCGATTGGCGGAACAAATTGTTTCATTTAAAGTATTACCCGACTGGCACTCGGCCAAAAAAAGTCACAGAGCGGCCGAGGGAACTCACCCGGGGCTAGAAACTGGATGAAAAGGGCGAGGAAAAACCATTAAAAATAACGCCCCGGCACCATTATTCTCTATCCAAGTGTTGTTAATGTTTTCACCCCTTCGCATAATCAAAATTGCTGGCCACATAGTTTATCGAATTTGGCTGGTGAGAAATAACACCTCGAACACGTAGATTGGATTGCGACGTTGCAGATTTCGTAACTAACCATCGTGAGGATTATGTGAAATGTTTTCCCTTGATGAATCTAAAAACTTCGTTCATTAAAGAGGCAAGCTTAGTGTTATAAACCTTGGTGAAGATAACTTGAAAAAAAAATCTTTAATGTCAATCATTTGGACCACATTTTGCAATTAGAAACTACAATTTCTGGCTCAATTTAGGAACAACGGAAGTACCATTAATGCCCTTATGCACATAAGTGTTTTTGAGGATGAGCAAGAAATTGTAGCTCCTAATTGCAAAATGTTATCATTCAATGGTCAATTTTTCCACGTCGATTTTAATTATTCCTGCGAGGAAATATTTTAACTTTTTCAGGATCAATGAATCGTGTTCATGAATGACGCTTTAATAATGAAAACATTGCATCATAATATA